TTAGGTATCCATCCCCAAAAGGTAAAAGGATAACCCTAAGCTAATTCGTTCGATAACAAAACAAAAATTAAAATCTCGTTTTTAAAGTATAGCAACGTCATCCGGTGCTCAGGAGAGGCGGCGAAATATAATATTTTCGTCTACTTAACCAATAGAGTATACGCATTTAAACAAAGACCGGATCGATTAAAACTATTTACCAATTTTCACTGCTGTTTCACTTTTATTGCCGTAGCGTGATGTTACATAGCTATAAAAACAATATTTCAGTTCGTTTCAGTAGTTTCTGAAATTTTAAGCGTTCAATCAAACAATCAAACAAACAAACAACCGACTACATACGCACCACCACGGGGAGCGAGTTGTCGGGCTGCGCGGCGGCCAGGGCGGCGAGGGCGCGGGGCGGGACGCGGGGGCGGGGCCCGGTCGCGGGTACAGGCAGCAGCACGTGCAGGCGCGCGCTCTCGGTGACGTAGGGCGCGGGGGCGAGGCGCGCGGGGCCCAGCGCGCGGCACGCCTCCACCGCGCGCGTGCGCTGCAACACCGACGTGTACATTAGACAAGCGGCCGCCCCTCGTCGAAGAAGTGTTGGAAATCACAGTGGAAATTTTCCCATCAATCATAGTCATGTACAAAACATGACTTACCTCAAAATTGTCTACAACTGTAGGAACAAGATTATGTATTTCTTCCTCCATGGAAGCACTCTCCTTCTTAATCAAATCATTTGATTCTTTGGCAAATATAAAACCAATTGGACGACAGTAGTTTGTTGATGAGGGGGTAGGATTTTTCCATAAGATAGTACCTTCTTCTAAACGAAGCGGAACCAAACTAATCATAAATACTGAGGAATCGTCAATTTTTATATCGTACTTTGACTTTTGTTTATAGTTACTTTGAGAAGAAGACCCTTCAAAACCCCATTTGCTTATCAGTTTTAAGGATTTTTTGTCTGCAGAGTTGTGCTGAATTGTTTTTAATATCCTATTAGATTTAGCTAAATCTAGAAGAGATTGAAGTCTTATCCTACCTTCAGATTCAGTTACAATAATGTCTGTCTCGGGAGGATAACATCTTTTTTTAGCGTCCAGAAGCTTGTGATAGGACGGAAGACCAAAAATATTATCTGAAGCAAGAATAGATCTCAAATTAAGATATTGCCATTTTGACAGATTTAATGACGTGACAAGCGCCAACGCCTTATTATCAGGTAAACACGGTTTCACAGTTTTCACAGTTTTTACAGTGAATAAAACGTCACTTACGATTTCACATTTTTCTTCATTTTGACTAAGTTCTTTTATTATAGATGCTAATATTGCTTTGTTGGATTCTTTTAATTTAAAACATAAAGCATAAAGAAGTTCCTCCTCAGTGTAATCTAGAAGTGTGAGAGAACGCCTTTTCTTTTGCTTATCAGATAAATCCAAAAAAGGTTTTTTACTAGTACTACAACTTGCTTGATTATCTACTAGCGTATCAATGATTGGAACTTCTTCCTCGGTAACTCTGAAAATGTTGTTTAAATCAATATTCTTACATTTTGGCCAAACGATTTCAGACTCTAACCAGTGTGAATTTTTGTTCAAAAACGTTTTTTGGGTTCGGCTAGAAGCAGACCATCTTTTTGAGACATTACTTGAAAAATTACGACAATATAATTTAATAATACTTAAATCTTCGGAAGATAATTCAACACCAATGCGTTCGGTAAGAGTTTTAAAAAGAAAATCAATATTTTTTGAACCACCTCCAGATTTAAGAGCAACGTATAAATCTAAGTTGGTGACAAATGCGGACATGTTCTATAATTTTTAAGGAAACTCTATTCAACCTATTTGTTTTACAAAAAGGATATTTAAAGACAAGACAAGTCAAAGACAAGGTGATTTTGTCCCAAAAACAAAAAAAAAAACAACAAAAGCAAAATAGAGCTATCTCTTGTCGATATGAACAAAAAATGATTGAATTGTAAAATCCAAGGAGTGGAAAACGATAATACAAAAAACAATTAAAAAAAAACTTCAAAACCTACGTTAAAAACCTATCAAAGACAAAGGTACCTATCAAAAACAAAGGTATTTTAAACCAAAAATAAAAAATAACGAAAATAAAATCAACGAGAGCTAAACAAACATAAAATTTTAAATTATAATAATCCAAAGACTCTAAAAAAATAACAAAAACAAGTAACAATAATATAACAAACAATTTAACAACTGAGGTATTTATCCAAGCGTACAGAAAACGAAACACGTCTAATCGCAATCACATTTAGCTGTATACTGACGTGTGCGAGAGCGTGTCATGATACGTCATGAAAGGCGGCCATATTGTTATTCCGGCAAACTCGCGTCGAAGCTTCATATTTCTGGCCAGCGGACCTATAATCCATAAAAATGTAGCATTTTGAATGTAAAAACAAGATGTTTTTGAATATATACTTAACAGTGGTGTGTAACCTGCGTTATTATTACTAAACAGTCCATTTTAAAACTCATTTTCATATATTTAACTCGTACAAAACTATAATTTGAATTTACAAAATACATGAATTTTGATGCTTATTATCTCCAAAGTACGCAGCGATAGGCAGTAAGTTTCTTCGAATGAAATACTCAGAATAATTAGTTTTGTCACATATGTGATTGCCATCTTGACATCGCTTAAATTTTTTGAGAAAATCAATAAAATGTAATTTCTCCCATACAAAAAAAAAACGAAATATTTTTTTTACCGAAAAGTATATGTGTCAGGGTAATAATATTTTTTTGCCTTATATGTTATCACTGTATCAACGTTCAAAAAAATTTTCGTCGCTGTAGCTTCAATGTCCATCAAATGCCGCACTAATTTGCACTTTTAAGTCCTCGAGGCTTTGTGCTTCTTCAAAATACACACGTCTTTTGATTTCACCCCACAAATAAAAGTCGCACGGTGTTAGGTCCGGCGATCGAGCAGGCCACACGATGGGGCCTCCGCGTCCAATCCATCGATCACCATATTCTATGGTGAGATGATCTCGGACGGCGGCGGCGTAATGGGGTGGTGCACCGTCCAGTTGAAAATAAAAATCCCGGAAGTAGGCCACGGGCAAGTCCTCCATGAAATCGGCAATGACATGCCGCAACATATCGAGGAAGTTGCCGCCGGTGAGCGGCCCTTCGATGAAGTACGGCCCCAGTATTTTCGTGCCTATAACACCGGCCCACACATTGACACTAAAGCGCACTTGATGGTGGGTTTCCCGAATCATATGCGGATTTCTGAAGGACCACCAGTGTTCGTTATGATGGTTATAAAGCCCCACACGAGTAAACAATGCTTCGTCAGTCCACAAAATGTTGGCATTAGGGTGTGCAATCAGCCATTCACAAAAGGTGCGACGGGGCACATTATCTCCATCGTGTAGAGCTTGGACCTTTTGGAAGTGGTAAGGGTGTAGCCCTGTCACATTCAGCAGCTTCCACACGGCATAGTGGCTTACGTTAAATCGGCGTGCGGCATCTCGTGTACTGGCTCGCGGGTCCCTTTCGAAGAAATCCAAGATTTCATCTTCGATTTCAACTGCAAGTCTTGATCTTCCACCTCCGCGAGCGTGAGCAGGCGTAGTAAATTGACCATAGTCCAATAGCCTTTGGTTCACAGCCAAAAATGTCTCGCGACTAGGTACTGCGGGGTTTATTAATCCCTGATTTTGCAGGGCTGGGATGGATTCTGTTTCGTATAGTCTCCGAGCTGCATTTAAACTTTCACCGCTTAAAATGTAACACCGCACCATTTCGTAATATTCGCGATTGGAATACATTCCGACGCGCGAAGTGTGGGGCTGCGGCGGGTGGCGCGCAACACGGAAGCAAAGGCGGAAGCGCGTGCGTTCAAAGGGATTATGCGCGGGTGACTGATGTTGCCGACTAAATAAAAAACCGAGCAGATATCGTCGGCGGTGCATGCGCGGCGCATGCGCGGCGCATCCCCTGCGCCCGCGCCCCTTGCTACCCCTGCTCGTTTCGTTCATAACTAATGTGACAATGCGAATGTTATAATTATCTTGTAATTACAAAAAGTTTACACTTCATTTTGAAAATTTTACATACTGTTTTTTTTTCATATATGTGATCTATTAACGATACCTAATGCCTAGAAAAAATTTGGAGAGTCATTTTAAATGCGTGCATTTTGTAAATAAAAGTAAATTCGATAGTGAGTAATAAATATACAAATATTTTTTTGTGAAATAAATGAATTACAAATTTTTTCTACTAGAAATTTCGATAGTTCTAACACTATTCTAGTCTTTTAATTTTCACGCACCTGCACGGCCTGCAACTGCGCCCCCCGCAGCGCTGCGACGGCGGCGCGGTCGTCGGGCAGCAGCGCGTGCGTCGCGTTGAACGGCGTCCACCGCAGGTGCGAGAACCTGCAACACGCGCACGCTCAACGACGACCTTCGTCCTGCTTTATCGTCATTCTACGTCCGGTTACGTTTTAAATATGTAGCGGGCGAGTCGAGTGGCAAACCAAATAACACCCGCGTACGGTGTGAATCCGAGATGCAAACCTGTTGTCGGGCGGCGGCGGCGCGAGGCCGACGTCCATGCGCAGGCCGCGCGGCCACGTGGCGTTGCGGTACCCGCGCGGCAACCGGCCGGCCGCCGCCGCCAGCCGCGCCCGCAGCGCCGCCTCCTCGCGCGCCGCCCCCCGCAGCTGCAGGCGCGCCGCGTGCGCGTGCAGCGCGTAGAACTGCCGCGGGTCCGCCAGGGGGTGCGCCGTCACCGCCTCCCCCACCCCCTCGCCCGCCTCCCCCGCCGCCGCGCCGAGCCCCACCCGCACCGACCGGTACGTCTCCCCCTGCACACGTAGATTGCAGTTCCGAGTCTACTCTAAATGTTCGTTGTCGAGTTTAATTTTGGAAAAAACTATACATTTGGCTTTTTAAGATCCGATTGAAGGGTATCAACCGTGCAAGCAGCCTTATTGCGCATAGGTATTTAGCAAAAACATGGCAAATCATCATAGAACCTGCAGCGTGGAGTGGCAGCGGATGTGGGCCGCGTGCAGCACGCAGCGGCCGATGTTCTCGTGGTGGTGCGCCGAGTACGAGTTGCGCACGCACCAGTCCAGCTCGCCGTGCACCGCGCGCAGCACGGAGTTGGACAACAGAATACCACCCTCTGCATATACACACCGATTATATTATCGATTTTAAATTCGCTCGTGTGTTCATGTCATTTAGTGAAGAAAGTTTATTGATTCCATTTTTGTATAAAAATACAAAATAAAATTGATACGTATCTCAGATGTTCCATTTCTATGTCATTTCGAATCTCACTTCACTTATTCCACCGACCGTTATTGATGATTCAAGATTGAGTGGATGCTGCTTTTTGGAGTTGATTTCGGTTCTAATATTTGTCACGACGAAGGTTCGAAACTCACCCAGTGTACAGTAATGGCTGTCGTCTTCGGCCACCGTCCCCATGTATACGTCCCGACTGACGCTCAGCTTCCCGACCAGATCGCGGAGACGTCTCGCGTTCACGAACGACGTGTCAGACACGAGGAAAAAGAAGTCGAACTCTTCGAGGTAGTTGTCGGCGAGATACTTGAGCGCGTGGAACGGTTTGAGCATTTCGCGCGTGTCGGTGAAGGCCACCACGTTGGGCCGCGGAGGCGCGGTGCCGGCCGCTGCGGCGATGAACACGCGCAGGGGCTGCAGCCGCGCCGCTGTGGCGTTCAGGGCCGCGGTGCGGGTGGACAGAGCTTCTTCCGAAGACAACACACCGGACATGAGGGACCCTGGAAGACCATTAAAATTTTTCTATTCGATTATAATTAAAATGGAATTTAAAAAATATCAATAAACTAATTTTATTTCTTATAGGTATCTTCAGAAGCAAACTGAAGAAAAAAATATTTTACTTTTATTTAAGTGAAGGAATTAAGAAGTTTAACTATACTAACATCATCAGGCCTGTAAAAATGTATAATTGTTAGGTAATTTTGCATATTTCTTATGAATATTGGAATATAAAGGTTAAAATATCTATCTTCTTCTTCTTTTTAATTAATGACGTTGCCCTTATGGATTTCGCCAGAATCCAGTGTTTGGCTCAGTTATATAATATAAAGCACAGCTGGGCATTAACTCGTTAATCCGTTAATCGTTAATTAACGAAGTAAACATTTCGACTAATGGATTCTTAGTCTCACGGCAGGCTTTTTCGCAACTCGACACTCAGTGCCTATTTTGCATGATACGGAGTAGCATCAGTCCTGCCACCCCAGCTCCTCCAGGAACCCTATAAGTTCCCGAACTCTGCCGCATGCCTCTACTAGTGTCCTTGGGTTACCTAGATGTGTAGCCCTTTGTCTTGATAGGCCTCTGCATTCCAGTATAACATGGGCACTTGTCTCTTCAGCCTCCATGCACGCCCTGCACAGAGGACTGTCAGAATAACCCATATTATAAAGGTGTTTGTTAAAGTTTCCATGTCCAGTTAGTATACCTACTATTTGCTTTAGAATTTGTCTAGGTAATTTGTTCAACTTACGTGCTAGACGTAGGTCTACCATCGAAATTGCTTCTTTGGTTTGCCTGCAGTCTGCCGTTTGTGACCTGTATTCATCATGTTGTCGTAAGCTACGTTCTCTTACCCAGTTTCTGAGCTGTCGAAATGGGATGGGTATAATGGGTTCCGGTACGATGGGTTTCCTGCTGGACTCCTCTCTAGCCAAGCAGTCTGCTGCATCATTACCTCTCGACCCACTATGTCCCTTGATCCATTGCAGAGTCAATTTGTTATACTTACATACCTTCGCTAATTTACAATGGCATTCGTGTATCAGACCTGATGTCATTATATCGCTGTCTAGAGCTTGTAATACTGATGCACTGTCAGAGAGTATACGGATACTCTTACCTCTCACTCCCCGGCATGCAATTGCCTCAGCAGCCTTTATTATACCCAAACATTCTGCCTGGAAGACCGTGTTGTAGGCCCAGTGCTGTAGATATGTGGATATTTAGGTCCTCTGAGAAAACACCTGCATCTGTACCTGAGTTAGTTTTAGAGCCGTCTGTAAAGACTCTTAGCTCCTTGCGGTGGAAGGAACCTGGTGTGTCCTCGTAGAGCTGTATTTTGTATTTTTTGTCAAATACGTACCTTCTGGGAATTAAGTCGTTTATTGCCTTAAAGAATGGGAATTCATTATTGATGTTCTTTAGAATGTTAGTGTGCGGAGTGCCATCATCCCTCCACAGCCCCAACGTGTTTAAACGTGTGGCGGTGCACATGGCCTCCTGTTGTATGAAAAGATGTAAAGGTCTTACATTGAGTATCGTCTCCAGTGCTGTAGTCGGCGTAGTCCTCGTGCAGCCAGAGATTGCGCAACATGCGCGTCTTTGAAGGCTTTTTAGTTTATCTATGACTGTTACCTGTGTGGTCTTGGTCCACCAAACAATCGCACCGTAGTTTATGATGGGCCTTAAGAGTGTCTCATAAAGCCACCTGGTAATATGTGGAGCTAATCCCCATTTCTTACCTATCATCCTGCGGCATTGCCAGAAGATGATGCTGGCTTTTGTGATGATTTTGTCTATATGTGCTCTCCAGTTAAGTTACATAACACCAAGATACTTCATCTCATTGGAGAGATTTAACTTCATGCCAAATAGTTTTGGCAGTCTATATTCGCCCAGTACCCTCTTATTAGTGAACATTACTAATTCAGTTTTTGCAGGGTTTACCTTTAGTCCATAGTCGTTGCACCACTTTTTAACCACCTTCAGTGCTGTATGTATGATGTCACACACTGTGTTTGCAAACTTGCCTGTTATTAAGATAACTAGGTCATCCGCGTATCCTATTGTTTGAAAGCGGCGGTTATTTAAATTGACGATCAGGTCGTTGACCACCACGTTTCACAGAAGTGGCGACTAAAGGTTGTCCACTCCCCCTGTGGACAACCTTTAGTCGCTAGTGCCTTTAGCTGATGGTCGCCTTGTAGTCTTATTAGTCTGTTACGCAGCATATTGGTTACCCACTGTGTGATGGTATCCTCCACACAATGAGCTGCAAGAGCTTTGGCTATGCTGTCGAAGCTGATTTTGTCAAAGGCTCCTTCAATGTCTATGAAGGTACTTAGACATATCTCCTTCCTTTCGAGGCTGCCCTCAATTGTACTTACTACAGAGTGACGCGCAGATTCTGTAGATTTACCGGCTGTATATGCATGCTGGTTAGATTACAACGGTATGTTTTTCAGTTGATTGTCCCCGACTAATGGATTAACTTTTAAGTTAACTTTAATAAATGTTAACGGACTCATTAACTTCCATTAACTAATGCTAAGTCGAAACGTCGAAACGAGCCTCGCTTTCAGACGAGAACTTCAACAAATTAATGTTTATGAAGGGCAATGATCACATTATGACAGACGTCTAAATTACACATTGAATTATACACCTTGAGTTTTTGTTATTAACCAATTTTTATCAAGTGTTAACAGATTAACAATTAACATTAACTTGCATTAAATCTTTCGAAATGTAACACTTTAACGTGTAACGAAGTTAGCTTTTGTAGTAACGGATTAGCAATTAACAGAGTTAATTATTTGATTAACGGTGCCCAGCTTCGATATTAAGTTATATAATCTATCAATATTGCTATATGTAATATTTGTCCTAATTTAATTATCTGATTCATTTTATAAATAAAAATATTAGATACACATGTTATATCATGTGTTTCGTATTGTCTAGTATTATTAATGTGTTAAACTATGTATAATATGTGGTAGTTGCAAACTGTGAAACTATGCGCTTCACATGTGATTTATGTCAATATAAAAATAATCTGGTTAATGTGATGGCAAATATGTAAGGTATTCCACCAAAACCTTCAAGATGTATATCTATTATAATATATATAGAAATTTAAATAAACATCTTAGATCATTGTTATTGAAAACTATAACTTCCTATATTATAGCCTTTTTTTTTTAATAATCACACAGTATTACTAAAGTAAAAATAAAAATTTGAAAAAATTGAAAATTATCATGGTAACTCGCACACATATTATGCAATTCATATATGTATTATATTATATCAATATAAACTAACTTCACCTATATATCCATATAAATTAAAAATCTGTTATTTTAATAACTTAAAAAAAAATCTAATTCAGAGTTTAAAAACACAATGATTGAATGAGTAATCAATAATCTATTCTTCCATAGTTGGATGACAATGATGGAAGAGGCATGTTGAACTATTTATCTTGGCTGCATCTGCAGTAGTTAACACCCATCGATCTGCCCTCCTGCATGGTGGGTTATCAGCCTGTTCTCTTTATTTGATTTCATCCACAAGTAAGGCATGTGCCCCATTAGAGAGTACTTACACTGATTTGCTGATAATGATGAATAGAATAAGTTCTCCAAGTTTGATAGTATGTAGCATTGAACAATGTACTATAGTATTTTCTATAGATAGGTAGAATCAAAGCACTAAAATAGATTATGTGAATTAGTTACCATAATATAAAAAGACTACAACAGAAAATTAAAATTTTTATGTTGTAATGATCTCCCTTTTGATTAGATTTTATTCAGATCTAATGGGAAGGCCTGTGCCCCAGCTGTGGGCATATTAACAGGCTGATGATTATGAAAAGAGTTATAAATAAGATTGAAACGAAAGACGCGTATGAAGACTATGCCCTTTAAGCAGATAAAACAATGCCTTATTTAGTAGAAACATACCTCTCATGCCCAGTTCAGTGATGTAGTATCTTGGACGTTGCACGCTGCGTCCTGCAGCAGGGCCTGCAGGCCCGAGTGGGCGCGCCTCTCTGTGTGGCTCAAACTCATCAGAGTTAGGCGCTTCGGTGACCGGACAAGCAACAGGAGCCTCTTCTAATGGCACTGCTACTAACGCTAGCCATAACCCAAGCACCACACCCACCAGGAAGTAAGAGTTGTGCTTAACTTGCGACACCACGAATCGCGAAAACATTGCTGTATTTGCTACTTAACCCACATTCGGTTTTTAGTTACGGCAAATGAAGAAGTTGTATTGAAGGTACTACGAAGATTAGGCTTACTTAAATTCGATAAGATTGTACAGTACTCTATATTATCATTTAATCCACATTATTTTATCGTTGGCATTGTAGCGATGGACGTTATTCGCGATAGACAGTTGCATAGGCGATTTGGCAACTGTTCACATGTTCATACGTCAAAATTGACATTGACATTAGGGATTAGGGATGTACAAACGTTACGAGTAAATAGTACTTTTTCGATTCGTTTTCTTAGATGACATTTATTTTGGTATCTATACTTTAGTACCGAGTAACATGTAGTATCGTTAAGTATTTGTATCGGTACTTGGTCAGTCACTCGCTGAGGAAAAATCTTTGATTTTCGACTGTTTACTCTGTGGTAAGGTGTCTAAAGTTTGACTCATGAAAAAGTCCAAAGGCGTCTGATGAAGCATTGTTAACCTCTATCACTAATTCTATGTAGTTATAGATCTATCAACAGAGGTCACTGGCAACAAAATTTTTATCTCGTGACCGATACGGTATCAATACCTAGGTGGTATTGTTGCATCCCTATTAGGGATTCTAAACTCGATACGATTTAATTAAAAATCAATCTTTTTGACCACGATCTTTGATTTTTTTTATCGTTTTTTGTCACTCAGATCGTTCTCGAGATTCTTACCCTTGAAATCAATCACAATTAACATTGGAATTGTGAAGTTTGGTACTCTTGATGTTCGACACTAGCGTCAATGATGAATTTAAAAAAAATTAAAAAAAAGCGCGGCATCTCTCGAAGTGAAAAGGCGGTCTTTTTAAAATTAATAAAATTTAATTGCGTATTACACCAAATATTAACAGCTTTTAGACATTTTTGCAAGTAATTATGGGGAAAGGGCGGCGTAAACGGAAAAAGATTTAAGAGGGCGAGTGTATTGAAACAGAAAGCTCCGATTCTGATGATTCAATCTCCACTGTGACGACACATTCTGAAAAACCCTACGAAACCTACAGAATAAATGATTACATTCGTAGGTACCCAGAAGACTCCATGGGTATGGATTTTGTGGTTTTTATAGAGTCTACGGATACGAAGCCACTCGGAGCGCGGGACATGATGTCTCTCAGTTCCTGCCTCAAGCGTTTCGTCAAAGGTATTTGCTATCTTTAGCGTATCAACAAATTCAAGGTCGGTGTGCGTTTTGATAAGCCAATCCTAGCCAATGCCATTTTATGCAATCAAACATTACTTAACGAATATAATTACAAAGCTACAATTCCAGCGTCAGCCGCTGAAGTTACTGGAGTCATTACTAATGTTCCATCAAATATATCCAATCGAAAGATATACACCCTTATATCTAGTTGCAGAAATATTATTTCTATTAGGCGCATTATGCGACGAACCAAGGATGACAGCGGAAACTTCTCATTATTACCAACAGGAACAGTAGCCATAACGTTCGCGACCTCTGTCTTACCAGAATTTGTTGATTTGAATAACCGGTGTTTTCGTATGTATACCTATATCCCACCAATAAAACAATGTTTTCATTGTCTCAGATACGGTCATTTAGCAAAGTTTTGCAAGAATTTAGAGAAGTGCTCGATATGTGGGGAAAATCACAACTACAAAAAATGTACTGTTTCTCCTGAATAAGCTATATGTTATAATTGTAAGGGAAATCATATTAGTATTTCCGCAAAATGCCCAATAAAACAGAAAAAAAGTAAATGAAAATAAACAGAAAATTCAGAATAAATCGTTTGTTGATCTTTTCAATGATAAAGAGAAGTCGTTCCCTACTTTGCCATCCAAATCAAAAGCAAACTCCACTGATAAACTATTACATTTATTACAGTCTGATGACAACATATTAACTTTCTTATTAAATTCTATCATTAAAGTTATTACAGTAAACAAAACATCTGACAAATCCATATCATCTGATTTAATTAAAACCATACTCTTTGAAAATCTTAATAATAAGAAATAAAATTCACTTCGGATCAGTGCCTCATAAGGGTAGTACAGTGGAATAATCAAAGTTTACTTTGTAATAAATCCATATTATATCAGTTTTACAAACAATATACATATAGCTTTACTGTGTGAAACTTGGTTAAAAGCTCATAATATTTGTAAATTCAATGGTTATCAAATGTTACGTCTAGATTTAGGTAATGTTCACAATTCTTATACATAACAGTCTACAATTTGCAAACATAGACACATATTATGATGATTCTATTCACAATATTGCTATGCGTTTATCATGTGGTAATAAAGAGGTAACATTTGTAAACATTTATATTCCTAAGTATACTAATAATTATTCAATCAATTTTACAAAATCAAAGTTAAATTCATTTATTGAGAGCCTTCCTGAACTAATATTTCTAGCTGGTGATTTTAATGCTTGGCACACTTCATAGGGACGTTCCTCTATTGACGCTAGAGGGTCTTTTATTCTCGAATGTATTGATGATAATGGCCTGGTTATTTTGAACAATGGCGAAATGACCACTGTAGGTACCAACAGATGCAGGCAAAATGCTCTGGATCTTACAATTGTTTCCCCTTCAATAGCTATAGCATCTTCTTGTCAAGTCTATGATGATTCACTTGGCAGTTATCACTTTCCTGTAATTACACAATTTACAATTAGTAATAGTTTTCAACCCATAACTAGCTCTATAAAATTTGAACACCCTAACTATTGCTTAGTAGACTGGAAATTATATAAACAAAATGTATCAAAGATGTTGTCAGAGTTTACATTTGATTTTTCCAGTCCCCTACAAGCTTATAATGATTTAATTCACATTTTAAAATTATCTGTACAGAACTCCCTTACTATAAAAAAACATTAGTCTCCGAAATCTAACTAGATGTCGCCACGGTACGTTCTTGATTTCTCAATGACAACCTTTCCGGTTGTCTTTCATGTTTAAAAGTAAATTCGTTTTCAAAACAATATAGAGCTCATATTATATATTTGTACTTTTTCGTATTTGTATTGATATCTAAGGTTAGAACTTTACAATTTTTTTTTCTCAAATTATGAGACGGCATGTTCGAGAATGAGTGGTAGGTATTAGTGGAAATACTTTATGTTAGAAACAACATTAACAGTTACGTTTATAATAGTCATGTACACAATTGTAAAGTTGTACAGGAAAGTTTTAGTAACATTTAGTAACAAAATTCCTACAGAACTTTAATTTACCATTGCCTTTACATATTGTGGTAACTTGACATGCGGCACTGTGTACTTGGGAATGGTGGTTTTTTTTAACAAAATTGATAAAACAAAAGATAAAAGCAACATCAAAAAATCGGTAAATAATAATTATTTAATAACAACAAGAGGTGTTAATAAATTAAATAAACTTCATTTGGCAGTCAGGCCATTATATTTGATCAATTATAAATTCACATTGCTATACTGATATACTATATATTGACATTCAATGACAAATGTTTAAAAAATAAACAATAGGCTGGATTATATAAGCATTTTTCAATAAAGATAATATTTATCAGTAGGTAATGCATTGTAATTTGAAAATTGGTCCCATATAGTATAATATACTATGATATTATTATATAGAAGTGTCACTATGGTGTCACTCCTGTTAGGTCCTAGGTAAGGTAGCTCAATGTTTAAAGCAGTCGCCCTGTATTTTAATTCAAAAGGCATATTTACTGTCAGCCATAAATCTGTAATCTAATCAACTCTTGCGCTGCAAGATTACAATTTTCCCGTGTTGAGGAAATTTGTGCATTTTCCTAATGTTATTCACGCGATCAGTTTATTGGCGAGACGATATAATAGTGAGCCTTGTTGATCTTACTGATTGTTGAATTAAAACCTCTTTTATTAATAAAACCTTTTTCCTTTCGGTGCTTATAATATGTAAGCTTCGGTGTATTCAGTTAAATATGAGTCTGTAAATAGTTGCCACATTATAGTTTAAAAATATGTCACACTAGGACGCGACGTAGGTACTTGAAGATTTTTCTTTTAGTTATTTTGACGGTGATGGTGGTCACTGTTTAACGTTTTATCGTCATGGGCGCTTGAGCCTTCGAGCACCCACCGAGTCGGAGCCTCTGCAGGCTGTAGGTAACAAACGTTCGATGAAGTTATTATATTATTGTTCAACAATGTTACAGAACAATCAGTAAAAATAGAGTTATATTATTAACTGCACAAGATAAAGTGCTATATTGGGTGTAACTACTGCTGCTGCATTTGCTGACGGGTGGAATATATAAAAACAAAGACATTTCACTGATGCGTGCGTGCCCGAGTGAAGCTGCATTGTTGCGCGCGGTTTTGAGTGAAGTAATGAATAATTAATTTTGTTACTTCAAATTCATATTATGTATTTAGTTTCAAGTCAGGGTTCAGGGTGGGGCCGTCCGTCCCAACTGGCCACACCATGTGCGCATTACATATTTACGTGTCATTGTATAGATGGTCATCTATTCTGTCATAATGTTTTAATTTTACTTATCAAAAAATAAAGAAAGGACTTAGTTTCCTGTCCGTTCTTCGCATTAAGTTTTCCGTGTATGTGAATCCTTGGTATATGTAGGTAATTGTATTAACAAACTAACAACAGTCTAATAAACTATATCGAATTTGGGAAAAGATAAAATAATATTAATTAAGTATAATCTCCGTTTTACCTATTGTAGTAGTCTTGTCTATGTTTTTATTTTTTGCTCTAGTCAGCATGAGCTCGGTGTATTATCTGATTACCTTATAATGATAAATGTAGAATATAGATTTATTAATTGTTACTATGGGAAATCATCTGTACCTATATTTTCTGATTTTGTAGATGATGCTAATAATAATTATTATTTGTTTTATAAAAAAACTTTTTTTTTTACAAATGCCTCCAGCGTTGGGTATATTAATAGGCTGATGAGGATACAAGATCAATAGGCAGTGCCGTCATTTGTCACTCAAAATAAATGAAACCGGGCCTCGTCACGTTAACAGAAATAATAAGAAAATCCTTGTGTCTGGGGAAAAACGTGATGAATCTCATGTTCGTGAAGCCGCCGTGTCTCCCGAGCTTGTTACTCATGCGGGACACGTGCCACCCTCGCCGGGACTCTCCAACGTCCAAATGAATTCGGGAATACGATCTTGTCACCTTCGGGCTACCTGTGGAGGGAT